GATAGTAGGAGACTGACAGTGAGACCAGGCTTTTATTTGATGCTGTTGTGTTAATGAGATGCTTTTAGGACCCGTGTGGTGCTGGATCAAGGATATTGGTGGAACAACGGAACTGGTATTCTTTAACCCCGACTGCCTTACATCCTTCCCCTCCACCCTCTTCATTTGAATGAAGAGATTAGATTGGGAGAATATATTTAACTTGAAAAAAAGCCCCAAATCGTGCCGATGGAATAGGTTATCTTTCCTACACTTCAGTTTTATTTCTCAGGATATGCAAAGGTTTATCAGTGCTGCTGAGAGGAGGGGACAGTACACCTTTTGGAAACTTCAACCACTGTAACCGTTTTCCAGATGTGCGTGTGTGTGTGCGCGTGTGTGTGTGTGTTTAAACTCAGCACTGTGTGTGCGTGTGTTCTGCTGGATATTGTGTGCATCTATGAAACGCTTCAAACAACTGCCTGGAAGTCAAAACCAACCACCTCTTTCCAGTCATATGTTTGCCGTGACTTTTCATAACCACACTTGAACTAGTGGTCTTGGATTCAATATTCAAAGAGCAGGGCATCTTTATAGCGATGGTATGTCAGTCAAATTAAGGAAAATGTACACAAAAGTAAATAAATGAATTTAAAAGTAACGTGCTCTCAGCCTACGTGTGTTTAACCAATGGAAGTACAACCGGTTGTTGGGGATGCACTTTGTGCTGCTTTCGCTGGTCATATGGAAGGGTTTTGAGGCTCGCCTTCCTCATAGCAGCTGATCGAACGTTGGGGAAAGCTCAGAGTGCTCAAGCTGCTCCACAGAAGTAATTGTCAGTCTTTGTGCAATTGGTTTTAGTTACTGCACATTGGCTGGTGAGGGCAGACTCAGCCACATCCCATCCAGCCCACATCAAAGCACCAGCTCCTGCCTGGCTCTGGAAGGGCTCTGGGGTGACCAGAGCCGCTGGGTTCCTTCTCCCCTCCCCAAAAAGCCACGTTCCAGCATGGATGTGGGGCTGTAAGTGGACACAGGGTCCATGCACAGCATGGCCTCAGGGTACGGGACTGATACCAACATATCCCATTGGGGCTGGAAGCACCTGGATCACTCAGCACCTTGCAATGATGTGGCCAAAGTGAGCCAGTGGGGTTTGTGCAGCCATCAGCGCCTGAGCTCTCAGGCTGGAAAACAGATGTGCTGCTTCTCTCTGTCTTTCCCCAGGTCCTGGATCCAACCCTAGATTCCACTGCCAGCCCCATCACTATTATCTGCAATTAAGCCTTGCATTTCTTTAGAGGTTAACTATTAGGTTGTGCATTTGTCATGATGCGAAGCCAATTTTCACCCTTAATTTATTAGGCTAAGTCAGATAGCATTTTGCTGGAGTAAAGCATGCCTGGTTGGGGTCATATTGAAACATGAATCGCTGTTTCCCTCTTTCTCATGTAAATAAAATTATGCTTCCATTTATCTTAGAATTGCTGAAAACAATATATCAGCTCCCTCTGCTGAAAAGCACAAGTTGCAGAGCTGGTGCACTAAAGGATGGACTAAACAAAAATAGCCCACTTAATATAATAACCTCTAAAGGCACAGGAAAGGAATCGATGTTTGTGGCACACAAGAAGCGCAGTGGCCGGAGCTGAAGGCTTTGAGATTGCGAGGGAATGTTACCCGGCGTCAGTGATGGGAATGCCGGTGATACGGAGATTGCCATAAAAACGTCTGTAGAGAAGAGCTGCAAGAGGCACATCACCATTTCTGGGAATCCTAAGCAAAACAGCCGCCCAAGTTTTATCTGCACGATGGGGTGCCTGTGTGAGTGCATGTGTGTTCTGTTTGAAAGCAAGGAATTAAGAGCCACGCTTTCATTTGATCAAATCAAATTACCCTTGTATGTTCAGAATGCTTATGCATCGGTAATTTTTATATTAGGGCTTTATCTCCCTGTAATCAATTCCAAATACAAACCTATTTTTATCTCTGAAGCGCAGCAGTAATTTAGAAGATGTAGACGGAACGCACACGAGATGCCAAAAGCAATTCTGCGGAGCCTCTTTTGTTGTCATCTCCAATGCGCCGGGCCCTGCCTTCAGCCTCCCACCAGTTTTAAAAGCCCCCAGATTTAACAATTGAATAAAGAGGGGTAAGAGGACTGAAGCAGTTGCCAACCCCCAGAATAGTCGGGAGGTTCATGTGCACCTCTGGGGTAGAGTTTGATTGAGCATGGCACAGTAATGTAAACTGTGCTGAGCTTTGTAATGCAATTACCTTAGTTGGTGAAATGGCAGAGCTTGTTCCCTCTGTCTCTCTGCCTGCTGTATAGTGTTTCATGTGTGAAGAAAAGGAAACAGTGAAATAATGCCCTGTGTTATCACCACTAACTTCACACTGCAGTGAGGAAGAGTGGAAGTTGAGGTCCTTACAGTTAAAAAGGAACTCCAGTCCTGCATAAGACAGCATTTAAGCATGTCCAGCCTGAAGTGCATCTTTTATATGGTCCTTCTTCAAGTTACTTTCCCACACTGGAGGTGTAGGATTGTAGAGCAATCCTCTGGCATAACAAGCAGCACTCAGAGAGAAAAATATCCCTGCCCTTGTGGAAAGTGTCTCATCCACTGAATGTGTCCTTGTTTCCTGTATCTGTGGTGGTTGTTGAAATTGGAGATAATGAGAAATCAAATGCCAAGGGATAAACAATTTGCAGCCGTTAGAGATTATAAAATGGGAGAGAGATGTGTTTCACAACTCTTCTTGCTAAAGATAGCCTTGAATATCTAGAACTCAACTTTGATTTCTGACTTTGGCCTGAGAAATGACATTTTCCTCATACCTCTCCATGGTGACATTGTTCAGGAACATGGCTCAAGGGTCTGGGGAAACTGCAGGGTTTTCTTCCAGGTCACACACTGTACCTGTTCAAATACAGCTCTCGCTCTGCAGGTTGGCTCCACTGTTGTGTGATTCCCTTGTGGCTGTGACAAGGCACAGGAAACTTGGCAATTAGGTTTGATAAAATAGGCATGGATAAGAGCATCTGAGATGACACACACGCTTCTTTGCAATGAGCTTCTCTGTATCATGAAAAACACTATCATAGTTAGCCCAGCCACTGCAGCACAGTGCTCCCTTCCTTGCTCTTCTCTTTCCTCCTCTCATTTAGGATCCCTGCTGTGTGCTCAGCGATATTTGCTTCCAAAATGCAAATATGCCTAATGAAGCACTCCAAAACCCCAATCCCAATTTCCATGCCAGCCCCGCAAGCTTTCTGCCCCTCAGGAGCACCTGCAATAGCAGCAGCCATGTATGCGTTCATGGATATGGCTTTTCAAACTACCTCTTTGATCTTGCCAGCGCAGACATCACTTCTGCTCTCTCAAATTACCCTGGTGTTTCCTGGTACAAAGCCACGTATTAGCACTCCAATGCCCTTTTGGTTACAGTTCTGGCTCTCTGGTGCAGAAAGTGCATGGCACGATGCTGAAAGCAATGTATTGCAAAGAATACACTGCATCTAGGGGGTGATGTAGTTTACCAATGTTAAAAATACAGCTGTTTAATTCTGTTTCATTTACTTGCCAATTCCTACTAAAGTTATGAGAGGAGCAGCCAAATTGGAAGTGTTTTCAGTCCTAAAAAAGCATCCCATTTTAATACCCAATGATTGGTATTCACGTTAATAGGTCTCTTTCAATATGCTTCTATTAACTACAGGTATTAAAATGGAATGAAAGACCATTACAGAATGTTAACAAATTATTCATGGCAAACAAGTAAGACACCTCTCTTGTTTGCCTACCACTTTCACATTAAAGTGCTTTTGGGAAATAATAATATTAATAATAATAATAATAAATTTCCCTCTTGAAGGAATCGTTATTAAAGCATTTTGCATGCGGATTACTTCAGGCCTCAGCATTGCAACTCTCGGCTAGGTTGGGAGACGAAGGCCAGGATTTGTTGATTGAGATCAGATGGCTGGTGGCGAGAAGGAATCTAGATGACTTAACTGGAGGGATTAAACTCGAGTCTTTTGGCTTCCATTTGGCTGTTTTATAAACTCCGCCGCTGGGCCAGCTTAGCTGGGCTGCGTTCCCCTCGTCGCATGTGTGATGTTAGCGGGGTGGTTTGTAGCATCAGCCAGTCCATCACTATTAGCAGCCCAGACGTTCTGGGTGAGAAAGGAGTAGACAGTGTAAGTGAAAGCTAAAATTAGTCCCTGAAGCGCCCATCCACACACCTCCAGCTCGGTGGCTGACCTCCTGCCGGCTCCGGGAAGCAGTAGGAATGCTCTCCATCCCAGCCAGCACCTGGAGTTCTTGGTGGTTGATAGCATGCGGATACCGATGACATTCCCAAGAGCTCCAGCCCTGTTTCCCTGCCCTGCCCAGGGAGAGGCAGGTCTCTGTGGTACCCAGCACATGGCTGATGTCCCTGGATGCAGGGTGATGTACCACTGGACACGTGAGGAGGAGGGTTGTGTTATCAGCCATCCGCCTTTGAAGCCTCACCCATCAGCCATACCCCATGGGAGTACATGGAGCTCGCTTTCTTCTTTCTTTCAGAGCCCTAACCTTTAATTTTACAACACTGATTGAAACCAAGAGTGGAAATAAACAGTCAGAACTACTCTGTTTTCCTTCCCCTCCCTTCCATTATCTTCTTTCTTTTCCATCCATCCTCATTTCACATGCCTCTCAGATTGCGTCCCCCTGGTTTTCCAGTTATTTATTGACCCAGACCTAATTCCTTATTTCCAGAAATGTGTCATGAATCCTGCCTTTGAACCGTTTGCTTTTTGCTTTCCAGGCTCACCTCTTTGACCACGTTTTCCTGTAAGAGATAAGGATATAGGGTTTGTGGAGTAATCGCAGCAGGATGCCTGGGTTTCATTCATAGATCTGTTGCCACTGGCTCATTATGGAAAACCAGGAGAGTTATTTCACCTTCCAGGGCCTCACCTCAGTGTCACCATCTGTAAAACAAGGCTAATAATTGTTATCTCTTCCTTGCAGGAGAACTGGGGAGCTTCACTAATGACCATCTGCTAAATGTTCTCAGAGCCTCACATGAGCATTTCTACTGAAGTGCAAATTATTATTAGAAACCAGGGATTGTTACTGGATTGATATCAAATCATTGTCGACAGATTCTCTGCAGGGAAAACTTAGGCGCAGCCAACAAGAACAAGCTGCATGTTTTGAAGTTGTGCAGTTGATTATATTGGCTTTCATCTTCTGGTAAGAGGATCCTCTGCCATCTGAACTCTCTGATCTCTGGGAACACAATTCATCCAATCAATCTGGAGGAAAATAAACCTCCTCAGACAAGAAAATAAAGTATCCACCTGAGATCATACGAAGATGGAAGATGTCAATTCATTCCCAGCCCCACAGCCCTTAACTCTTGAGATCCCAGTGTTTTCCCAGCCCACCAGGCAATGCTTAGGAGCAGGATATAACGCATCCCTTACACACAGCCTCAGTATTGCGAAGAGCCTCGTGGGCCTGCCTGGGTGAAGTTCTAATTGAAAACATGCAAATATTTTACAGTGAAATTGGTGCCACTGAAGGTTTCTATGGACTGTTTGAGGGATACGTCTTGATCTCATGGCAGCTTATGTATGCTGGGACTGATCGCAGCTGTGGCTCCTTCCCTTGGGTCATAGTTTAACCCCAGCTGGCAGCTGAACCCTATGGTGAGATGCAGGAGAGAAGTGGAGGGGTAAAAGTGAGATAACTCATGGGTTGAGGTAAATACAGTTTAATAGGGAAAGAAAAGCTTTGCACATGAGAGAAGGAAAACAACAAATTCATTTGCCACTTCCCAATGGCAGGCAGGTGTTCAGCCATCCCAGGCAAGCAGCGCTCCATCACATGTGATGGTGACTTGGGAAGACACACACCATCACTCTGAACATCCCTCCTTCCTCTTCCCAGCTTTATATACTGAGCATATATGGTGTGGGATATCCCCATGGCCATGTCTCCTCCCTACTCCTTATGCACCCCCAGCCTCCTCACTGGTGGGGTGAGGAGCAGAAAGGCCTTGACTCTGTGTAAGCTGCCCAGCAGTAACTAAAACATCCCTGTGTTATCAACACTGTTTCCAGCACAAATTCAAACCACAGCCCCACACCAGCTACTGTGAAGAAAGTTAACTCTATCCCAGTGAAAACCAGCACACCAGCATAAGTCAGCCCAGGGAGAAGGATACTTCCATACCATTCCTGGACCTGATGCAGTACATCTTCTCCCTAGGGCAGCCTCAAGCTGCTGACAGCAGGTGGATTTAGTTGCCAACTGAATCTGGAATCCATGTTTAGCACCATACAAACACAGAGAAACCATCACTGGGTCATCATTGGTGTGTACCCTATGAGACCCGAATGAGCTCCACTGATGGCTTTACAGGGAACCACTGCCTTTAGAAAGCTTGGCCTCCAATCTTTATAGTGCTTGGGCTCATCTGCTGTGTTTTCCCTGAGCTAGAAACAGAGAGGGAGGATTGCTGGAGGCTATAAACCATTACTGGGTATTCAATAGCAGCACTGTCAATAGGGACAAACAAGAAGAGATGGGGCTGGAAGTGGGGATAATTACAAGGACCAAGTTGTGAGGACCAGAGAGCTCAGGGCTCCTTGTGACACTAAAACTGATAACATATAACGGGGGGAGTCTTAGCAGAGAGCTTCCCCCTCCCATACTATTATGTGCCATTATGGTCACTATCTTAGTTTGCGGGGTTTAAGCGTACCAAATGTGTTTTAATGATGCTGTTACTATCCAACAACATCACTGGTGCTGCACTCACAAAACCCTTTCCAAAGCAATGCTGTCAGGGCTTACAGGGAGGAAAAGGAATGTGAATACCCCTGGTGCAGCCATCTGCAGTGCGCTGGGGACGCTGGAGACAGCACTTGGTTCTCTGGTGCAGTGCAGGCCCTGTTAAAAAATGGGGGGACAAAATAGCTCAGTAATTTTTTAATTAAAAAAGGATACTGACATCTTGCATTAAAATTTGAAAAAGCAATCCTCTACATTTAAAATATACCTGTAAAATAATATGGGCCTTTGGGCTATTTCCTCTAATATGTAACTTTGGTCACATGGCTCCCATTAAGACACCAGAAAAGCTTGTAAAGTGGCATTTATAAGCTCAACGTAGGAAATTTCTGTATTTTTTTATTTTGAATTTATAATCCCCTACCGGAATTTGCTGAAAGAGATGAAACTTTAGTGGAGGTTTTGGGAATAGAAGGATTTCTGAGGAAAAACAGTCGTCTTTTGGTAAAATCCCCATCTGTTCAAATTTTTGACATTTTCTTCAGGCAAATATATTTTTTGCTTAAATATTGAAGAAAAAGAATTCTGGATAAGAGCTCAGTCACTAATAGTGAAAAGTGTTATGAAATATGAATGGTTTGAGATAAAACTACTTAAAACACATAGCTCTCTGCCCGTGTCTGCAGAGTTGCCATGCATCCCTGTGTGCCTTTAGCACTGAAGGCAAGGAAGTTTTGCTCTGACAATGGACATTCAGAACAGGGAAGGTATTAACCGCATCACTTTCGCCCTGATTTGAATAAGGCAAGAGAGATTAATAAGTCATACTGCCCAAGCATGAAGTCAGAATAAAACTTCCCTCTTTCCTCCCAGCTCACATCTCTGGACAAAGCTCTAAAATCGGAAATGAAGTTGATGAATTAACTTATACAATGATGAGGCAAGGGCTGATGCTCATTATTCCTGAATAACCCAGGGGTATGGAGGCACCCAGCAGGGTCAATACCAGCCTGCAAGTCTGGTTTTAGCAGCTCTTTCACGAGCAGGCTGCAGGTGGCAATACATTTATGTTGGTCTCTCAGAGCTTCAGAACTCCCTGCAATGCTGTGCATGGGATCAGAGCAGAGGATGTTGCTCTCGAAGAAGAAATACACCAGGAGGGAAATATGATAAGGATAATTGCAGGGAAGGGGTTAGAAAGGGATCAAATAGGTTTCCTTCCAGTGGGAACGGCTCGTGTCTAAAGGCAGCCACTGCGGTTTTACTGCTTCGCCCTCTCAGGCCGTGCCCGTGCCTCATGGGGTATGCCAGAAGCCAGGCAGAGCAGCATCCCCCAGGATGGCCAAAGCTCTGGGGCACAGCAGGGGATGTCTCAGAAGCAGAAAGGATGAAATGAGGCATCTTTAATTCTCTTCGATGTTGTTATGTTGTTCCCCCAGGAGCAAGAATACAGACGTGCATCTCTCCCTCCTTCCTTAAGGAAGATTAACCAGAGTAAAACTTACATTAATAATGATTTATAGCATCCTTACAGTGTCCATTTTGCAGTCCCACTTCTCTAGGTGCTATAGCAGGGTTTTACAAAGAGCTAAAGGTGTCTGTAAGGGTTTTTTTTGCTCTGGGGTTTTGATAATCAACCCTGGTACAGTGTTTAATGCCGGTAGATGGAGGGTCACTGGGGGAGGCAGAACTGCCTGGGAACATGGGAAAGGGGGAACATCATCCCTCTCTGCAGGGAGAAATGCTTCTGGAAATGGAGCAGCTTTGCCAAGAGGCAGGGAAAGCAACACTGAAGGCTCTGAAATTGGTCAAAGCAAGGATGTGTCTTGCCTAAGCCATACAGCAAGGCTGTATAAGGTTTGAGTTCCACCAGTTCTTTAGCATCATTCCTCCTGCTGGAGAGGCGAGTGGTGCTTTCTGCCCTTTTGTAATGGCTCCAAATCTTTAATCTCTATTAAGTGCCTCCTCTGGAAAACGGCCCTTATTTGCTATGCTGTGGGAGCAGGACTATTATTAAATGGTCACAGAATATTGGAGAGTACTCAGTGTGCTCTTGCTGGGGTACTCTAATAACAGGTTGATCAGCCCTGAATGATGCCATTGTTAATTCACTGAATGGAGCACACACAAAAGCCAACCCCAAAAGGCACTTTCCAAGAGGAAAGAATGCCCTGTTTTGCTAAAAAAGCAATGGAATTCTGATCAAACCATCCTTGAAAGAACAGCCTGATGACATAAGTTCATGTGAATCAAGGTGCTGCTCCAGAGCTGCGCCTGTGGGGTGCCATTGCACGTGTAAATATCCATGTGTGCATCCACTCCATGTGGCCAACATGGCAAACAGCATCCTCACGGCAGCCAGTGCACACCCAAGGAGGTGTTGCAGCTTCTCCCTGCTTTCCCCAACTCATCTTGCTCTTTCTTTTGGATTCTATCACCCCTAAAGGATGCTCTCCCTCTGGTCCCCAGTTCTGCTTGGCTCCATTCTCTGCCATCACCCCTTGCAAAGCCACCAAGCCAGCTCCTGCATTTGTAATTGCACTGTGGCAGGTGGTGGGGATATGTCTACCTTAACTCCTCCAGCTAAAGGCAGAGCTGCCTTGAGCCCTGCTGAGCACAGAGGTTTTAATGAGGGGCTGGGATATGGGCAGGACCCACCTGGGAGTCCCAAACTGAAGGTCGGTGGGGTGATGGCTGAGGAACTGGCTATAGATGGCTCAGAATCTCCTTGCAATGTATTTCTGTTTGTGCTGATAGTGGGAGATAGAGGGGGGTGCATCCAGGGGTGAAGCTGGACCTGCTCCCCACATGGGAGCTGCCTCTTTGCTCCCATCCCAGCGAGGGGGTCTCTAAGCCCACGAGCAGGGCAAAAGGGCAAATTCAGCAATACCTTTGGCTTATCAGTGACAGGACAAATTGATACCAGACTTTTAAGAGGGTGGGGAAACGTCTCTCCATAAAAAGAATCTAAATTTACCATCGTGTTAACAATTCTGTAAGACTTTTTGGCAACTCCTAATGGAAATTTCAGGAGCAGATGGAAATATTTGGAAACGTATAGAACACATGAGCCTGCAACATCCATTTTTATTTTCTCATTGGGAGTGTGGAGTGGTTTCATGTTGCCTTTAAATTTCTTTATTTCCCCCCTTCTTTCTCTCTTCTGGATGCTAAGAAAAGCAAGAGGGGAAGCAGGCGATGATGGATATAGGTAGGAGGGTTTTTTTTTTGGTACTGCTCACTTGATTCCCCTGTGTGGTCTGCAATGGGTTTCAGAGCAAACAGCACCAGTGTAAGGTTACTTGGTCCCAGGAACGTGAGGGCACCTGCTAGCCTGGCTCTGTGAGGTCCAATGAGCCAGTTAACCTTTCGCAATGTGAATGGAGGTGGATAGCCTGGATCTACCTCCCAGACAGCACATGAGGTTTAGTTAATGAGTGTAAAAAGGCCTCATGGATTCTTTGATAGAAGATAACGTCAAAGTATGCAGAATGGTTTTTACTACTCCTGTTGGGCAATGCCCAAGGTCAGGGAGAGGAAAATCCAGGGGGAACACTGAAAAGGTGAAATCCACAGAGAACACTGAAAACGTGAATCAAATGTTTCCACTTGCCCATAAAGCAAGAAGAGTTTTTGCTTTTTAGGTGCTATAACCCATCCTAGAAATGGAATTTCAGTGGAATAGGACAGGAATCAATAACAGTAATAGACACCCCTATATACAAAAGCTGAGAAAAAAATACTAGCTCTCAGTGACCAAGTTTCTGGACGGCTGCTGATCAGTAATGATCAGGAATGAAGGCATACGCCGTATTTTTCCATCTCCCTGATGGCTTTGCAGAGTGATGGCCAATGCACTGGCTTCACTGCTGCTCTGCTCTGGTAGAGCAGCTACTATGGTGGGGAAGTCATTTGGAAACTGAGGCATTTTCCAAGGTGTTTACATTGTCCCGCTTCCATCAGATCTCAGCAGCTCTTGGAATATCCATACCTAAAGCCTTTAATTAGAAGAGAGACTTGTGGGGCTGGTGGTCACAGCATTTATTGTGCTTGGAAGAGAACCGGTCTATTCCAGCAACAGCAACACTAACCCAGCGCCAGCAGCAGTTCCGACAGTTATCACATCCATGGCTGGATGCACTTCATGATAGAGCAGGCTTTGGAAAA